TCACAGCCATCGAGATGGTGCTCAAACCTTTTACTTTCCCTCTGGCCCAAGAGCTGGCCTGTCCCCTCCTGCCCTCTCACTGAAGAGCACCCTCTGCTCTTGTTGCTTATGCAAGCACCGAACACTTTCACGGTTTGCTAGGATTTTTAACTGCTTGTGATATTAAAAAGGAAACTAACAGACCTATTAAGTAAGAACAAGTTGATGTGAAAATGTCACAGGCATCTTTGACCCAAAGGACTGAGGAGTCGTCCACATTTCAGGGGAAATGGGGCCTCAGCTCTGGCAGACGCTTCCTCCCAGAGCTGGGACGGGGGTTTGGCTGAAGGACAGCCTGGACCTTTGGGTGTAGGCGGCTGAGCTGGGCAGTGAGGCCCACAGAGTCAGCAGGGGTCAGAGAGGACCAGCGGCCAGGGCTCCCCGTCCCTGCTGCAGGGCGTGCGTATGTGTTATGACATTGCAGCGCTCAGTGAATTATACACCGTTCGCTCAGACCTGATGCCTGAGGCACTATGTCACCCTTCACATTCTGACCAGACATCATCAGTTCTGACTCCGTCTGTCCACTGCCCCCACCCCCCACTGCCCACCTTTGTGGGTAACCTCTCTCCCAACGACAGCAGTGACATCAGGGGCCTGTCAGTTCTCCAGCTCGTCATCCTCAGTGCACCCTCCCGGCATCACAGACCCCACGGGTACTCACCTGATCTCGGCCCCTCCGGCCATCGTTGCCTTATGACAGCCAGGGCCCTCCTTTAACAACTCAGCCTCTCTTCCTGCATCACTAACACAGCCTCCAGGTCTCACAACCACCTGGTAAAGTTGGTATTACTAGTCCCTGAATACTGGCCAGTGCGAGCTGGATCAGGGCTTCGAACTCACGTCAGGTGGTCTAGAGAACACAGTGTAGAGGAGGGGTGAGCTGGAGAGGAGCGGGAGTCCCAGTGGCATTCGCCAAGTACGTCTGCAAAGGATCTCCTGGTTCTGTTCAGGGTCACGATCAAGGATTTGGAGTAACAGCATGAATTAGGGCTAATCAAAGTCTCTAAAAGGAGTACAATATGTCATTTATTTCAGATTCATGTTAAAAAAGGAGATCATATGAAAGGGGCACGTTTGCTTATTCGAGTGGCCAAGAACATTAGCAAATTTCCGTCACGTAAGTACTGAGAAGAGCCTGTGAGCCACATGTCTGCATTCCTGTGGCACTGTAAGACCTCCGCTGACGCTGCCAGCCACTGTTCTCTGCATGTGTTAACCCACTAGTCCTCACAACCCCATAAGGCCAGATGACAAGTTGGTAATTCAACATAGAGGGGTGCTACAGCCTACGGCTTATCACAGCAAGAAGATACAAAGGGAAAAGGCGCTTGGCTGCATCTGGGGAACAGGGGCAAGCTTCCAGGAGCCCCTCCAGGTGGGCCACGCTTAGCTCCTCCTGGAGTGAGCTGTGTGACACGTGATGCCCAGGGCTGTCCTGGGGCTGGTCACCCAGGTACCCCCTGCTTAGCACGTACCAAATTTCCAGACTCCCAGACACGGTCTTCAGCATAAACCACTGTTTGTATGAAGAGTTCAGGCACAGTGAGCCACCCAATCAGTTCTGGAAACAGCGGGAACTCCTCCAAAACCCAAGTTCCCAGATGCCAGCCAGGGCCAGCCTTTCACGCAGGTCTTTCCAATGACAACAGTCTCAAGACTGCACACATGGGTACTGTTATCCCTATTTTATAGATGAGCAAACGGGGGCAAAAGAAGTGAACTAACACTTGCCCAAGGTCACTGTCAGTCAACTAAGTGTGTTGGCCCTGACCTCTGAGAAAGGCCCCTTTCCAAAAGACATGTCGGTTCGTTCTTCAGTGAAGAGATTCTGTCACCTTTTGTGATGGGGTCAACAAGCTTTTTCTGTACAGGATCAGATGTCAGATGTTTGGGGCCTTGGGGCCTCATGGTGTGTCACAATACCCAGCTGCTATTCGGCTTGAAACATACATAAACAAATGAGCATGGCTGTGTTCCAACAGAGCTTTATTTTTATTTGGACACTGAAATTTGAACCTCATATTTTTCACAAAATATTTTAAATTTCACAAAATATTCTTTTTTTTCCCAACCACTTAAAAATGTAAAAGCCATTCTTAGCTCACAGGCCATAATTCACCAACACCTGTTCTCTAAATGTGTTCTTTTTTGTTACATGAAAAATTATATACCAAGTTGGCAAAGGCCGCAGTAGTTCAGGCACTTGTAACTGCTGCTGGGTGAATACTGGCATGGCCTTTCTGAAAAGCAGTTTGTGCCAACAGCATTTTTTAAAAGGTCATATTCTTTGAGCCAGTAATGCAACGTCCGGGTATCTGTCCTGAAGAAATAGGTACATGCAGAGGTTAGTACATAAAAGGACTGATCTCTCTCACATTCATCAGCAGTCCTGTCAAATGTGAAAGTGTGTCCGAGGTGTGTAGGGATACACGTGACCGCCAGGGAGTGCAGGCCCCGGGTTACAAGGCAAAGCGGCACCATCCGGGGAAGACAGTCGATGAGCTGTTAGCCTGCCTGCCTGCCCCTCGTTAAACACATCTCAGTTCTCTGCCAGGAAAGGCAAATTCAGAGGTGTGGCCCCGCCTCCCTCCCGCCACTGTGCTTTCTCCCCGTTCGTATTGCAGACGTGGTGCCGATCCTGACGTCCACGGTCATCGAGTGTCACCGAGCAGGCCTGAAGCACTCGGCGTTCCGATTCGCAGCCATGCTGATGAGACCCGAGCACCGCAACAAAATCGATGCCAAATATAAGAAGAAGATTGAGGCCATGGTCAGGTACACGGCGGCGGCGGCGATGCCCACTGTCATGCTTCACAGGCGCCTCTTTCAGGATGCAGCTGCTGGTGGCAGCAGGAACTGCGTGAGGGGGTGGGGTGGGGGGCAGTTAGGACCCCACTCAGCCACCAGCAGCAGAAACCCCACGTGGCTGAACAAGTCGGGATGTGACTCACATACAAGGCGTGGGAGCCCAGGGCTGGTGCCGCTGGGTTCCGGTCCCTCTGTCATCCAGCTCTGCTGTCCGGAGCGTAGAGGTTCCCTCCACGTGGTGTCTGCCACCACTCAACATCACAGCCCCATTCAAGGCAGGAAGCAGAGGGAAATTAAAAGGTGGAGCGGTCTTTGCCTTTTAGAAAGGACCCACCCCCAGGAATCCATTCACATCTCGCTGGCCAGTACCCTACCTCTCCCTGCAAAGCATCCTGCTGAGGAAAAGCAACATGGGCTGGCAAGGAGGAAGGGCTGTTCTGGAGGCCTGCGTCTGCCCAGAGGGGCAAATAGTAAACACTTCTCAGTGTAAGAAACTTGGTAATTACACACCCTATTGCCAGAAGAGTGCATCTCCACACCCTGTGGAGGCCCCCAGGCACCTAAGCCTATCTTCACAAAGCTGTAGCGGCCTGGTTCCCCAAAGGAAAAGCACTAGTGTTTACAGAAGGAAAGAGTCGTTCCAACCACATAGCGATTCCACACTACACTTGTTCGAAGTAGAGATGACATTTGGGGTATCCGTTTGGTCCATTATGACCAGCACCCAGTGTACCTCAATGTTAACCACTGCAGCTGCACTGCAACGAATGGCAGCTGGAAGCAGTTCTACCGTTAGCTGGCAGCGAACTCTAAGCTTAGGGCCACATGAACACTCCCCCTTTAAAAAGGTGATAAGCCCTCAGCAGCTTCACACCAAATCAGACCACCCCAGCCTGCCTGCCAGCACGGAGCGAGGTGGAGGCCATGCTAGAGCACACTTATCCCCGCAGCCCAGCACCCTGCTGTCCTAGGCGCTAGCTTCGAACAGAGGCTATTCTTCTCCCATGCAAGGGTGCTCTGTAGCTGTGTGGTCCAGTGCGGTTCCTGGCAGCCACAGGTCACTAAATTTAAACTAAACTTAGAACTTAGTTCGCCACACTACCCACATTTCAAGAGCTCAGCGCTCGTGTGGCTCATGGCTAGGCTGCCGTGTGGGACAGCACAGGGAGACACTGCCACTGTCAGTTTTGCTGGACAGAAGGGGTAGCAAGCTCACCACTCCAGTGACAAAGGAAGAGGACAGCAAACCCACCCAGGTTCTCTGCCACTTAATGTGCCCTCAACTCCACTCCCCATAACGGCCCCCGTAATGCTACCACCTGACCACTCCCAATCCCTCTTCCTCCTCCCTGCGCTACAGTGTGGGCCTGAGTCTAGGAAGAAGTAGGTCTGTGTCACGTTCCTAGTTTTCCAAATAGGCCTTTTCTCTGCCATCCATATCACATGGAAAATGAAGTGTTTTTAAATGACATGTGATTCTTCCTCACAGGAGACCAGATACCTCTGAGACAGAAGAGGTCACCACCCCATGTCCATTTTGTCAATTTCTCCTCCCGGAATGTGAACTCCTCTGTCCTGGTTGTAAAAACAACATCCCATATTGCATTGCAACAGTAAGCTTCTTTATCATAATTTCCCTTTCTTTGCATATCTATTTATAACCCATTTGAATATGTGATGTATCAACAGGTTTTTCACTTCCGAAATTACAATCCCTCAAATTTCCTGCAATTTTTAGCATATAATTTTATGGTCAACAAAGCTGGAAGTTATATTCAAGGATATAGTAATTTTAAAAAACAACCACAAAGCATATAATTGTTTAAGTGAATATCTGGGGGGCAGTGCAGCACACACGAGGGATCAGATGGGCCTGCGCTTACATCCTTTTTCCACCACTTCTCGGCTCTGTAACCTGCAATTTGGTTTACCTTGCAACTTAGATAATGTTTCTCAAAACTGAAGACTTCTTCTACACACAAGTCTGATACATAAAACCTGGCTTTAGTTATTTTGATGCCATCTCTTTCTAGTCAATTTCCACCTGTGTGAACTATCAATGATTTCCTAATTTAGAGTGGTAGCTTTTAGCTGCAATCCAATTATTATAACTGAATAATGGTGGAGCTTTAAAACTAAAGATGAATTTTACTCTTAAATGCACTGTTTTAGGGTCGACATATGCTGAGGGATGATTGGACAGTGTGCCCACACTGCGACTTCCCTGCTCTGTACTCAGAATTTAAGATGTAAGTGTGCATTGTTTCACTAGCTCTCGGGTTTATCCAGAAATAGGCCTATCATTCGGCCACTCTTGATCTGAAACCTCCTTATTTGTTCATGTTCCTAAAGATCTCTAAAGATTCAAATTGTCTTCTTAGAAGAACTACTCTGACCTTTGAAAACATTATCCTTAAAGGGGATCTTGCATGACACTGAATATTCTTTTTTTAAAAAATATATTTGTATTGTTGATAGTATTACAGATATCTCTCATTCCCTTCCCCTTTCCCCTTCCTCCCAGCCCCTATCCACCCGCCAGGTCTTCACTACCCTATTGCTTGTGTCTATGGGCTATGCATATCCTATATAATAAAAGCCTAATATGCAAATTGTCCCCTTGACCGGGAGTTCGGCCAGGAGTTTGACCAGGGGGCAGGGCTGGCTGGCCACCTGCCCACAGCCCCTCCCCCGGCCAGCCTGGCCCAATCGGCCCCAATCGGGGTGAGCTGGCCAGACCTCACCCATGCAAGAATTGGTGCACTGGGCCTCTCGTAAATATATAATTCCTCTAATTCTTAAATTGCATAATGAACATATACTAAGAGATGTGGACAGGAATAGTCGTTTTCACAGAATAACCCAAAGGAAAAGAAATATATTTAATCTATTCTGCCTTTTCATCTCCACACAGCATACTGAACACTGAAAGCACATGTCCCATGTGTTCAGAAAGATTGAACTTTGCTCAACTGGAGAAGATCTCAGACTGCACCCAGTACCTGCAAACAGAGGTGGAGCCGTGAGTGGCATGTGCAGGTCAGTGCCAGGCACCGCCCCTTCCCAGGCAGAGTCCACAGCTGTAGTTTGTATTCCCATTGGCTCCTTGTTGTGACTCATGTCGTTTGTCAGATTTGAGCACAACAACAAAACCTCTGATTCGTTTTCTTAATGCTAACATGCAGGCTGTAGTCTCCACAGTAACAAAGATTGTTGGGACAAGCCGCCTCATGGACTCCAACTGGGTCGTGAGGTATCACTCAGTGTTTGTCTGAGGTTTTCAATGACCGATTCACTCTCTTTAGTAGTAACTGGTCTAGTCAGATTTTCTACTTTTTCATGCTTCAGTCTTAGTAGGTTGTTTCTAGAATTAATTTCTTCTAATTTGTTGGTATATAATTGTTCATAGTAGTCTCTCACGATCTTTTTTGCATTTCTGTGGTATCAGTTGTAGTCTCTCTTTCACTTCTGATTGAGTGATCTTTTTCTTGGTAAGTCTGGCTAAAGGTATTTTGTCTTGAAAAAAGCAGCTCTTGATTTCATTGATCTTTTTTAGTCTCATTATTTCTGCTCTGACCATTATTTCCTTCCACCACCTTTCAGCATAGCTTTTTCTTCTTTCTCTAGTTCCTGGAGCTGTGAAGTTGGGTCGTTTGAGATTTTGTTTCTAACTGTAAGCGTTCAGCACAGATATTCCCTTTAGAACTGCTTTTTCTATATATCGTAAGTTCTGGTATGTTGTAGTTCCTTTTTCATTTATCTCAAGGTATATTCTTATTTATCGTTTGGCTTTTTTTCTTTTTTTGACCCATTGGTTTGTTCAGGGGCATGCTGTTGAGTCATATTTGTGAATTTTCCAATTGTACAGCCAGCCACTCTGTCTTTTGATCAGAGAATTTAGTCCATTTAAAGTAATTATCATTAGGTATGGACTTACTGCTATTTTCCTAATTGTTTTCTGACTGTTTTGTCAATGTTTTGCGCCTTTCTTCTCTTGTACTCTCCTGTAATCTTATTTTTTGTAGTGGCAGCCTTAGAATTCTCTCTCTTTATCTTTTGTGTTTTCTACTATAGGATTTTGCTTTGTTGATACCATGAGGCTTACATGAAACATCATGTAAGTCTATTTAAAGTTAATGAGAACTTAAGTTCAAATGCATTCTAAAGCTCTCTATTTTTTAAAAAATATATTTTATTGATTTTTTACAGAGAAGAAGGGAGAGGGATAGAGCGTTAGAAACATGGATGAGAAACATCGATCAGCTGCCTCCTGCACACCCCCTATTGGGGATGTGCCCACAACCAAGGTACATGCCCTTGACCGGAATCGAACCTGGGACCCTTCAGTCCGCAGGCCAACGCTCTATCCACTGAGCCATCCACCCACACACATTCTATTTTTTTTTCTTTACAGTAAAACCTCGATATAATGAACTAATTTGGGCAAGGGGGTGTCCATTAGAGCCGAAAGTCTGTTGTATAATAAAGTTTTCCGAATGTGTTAAAAATTGGCAAATTAGTTACTTCACCTATTTTCACTTGTGGGGACACATTTGTGTAATAAAAATTAAGAATGTATGAAAAGTTTAATTTCACAGAAAAGTTTCCTACATGTATTACTATAATTTAAACTTATACTAAATAGGTCTAGTAAATGTGTGCCTATACCAGTCACTGTGCATAAATAAATGCACATGGTTTTTTTCTCAATGTGAATGCAATAGCGCATGTTGAATGTCAGCTGGCTCACATTAAAAGTGCTGCAGAAAGTCACCATGGGACAACAGAACCAATTACTGTGCACAATGCGGTGTGATCATGCGATAATCATTCGCTGAACATTATTTGCGAGCAGTGACTCTTGGATTTAAATGTAGACTGTAGTAGCAGATATGTAATATTTATTTATGTAGGCAAAATTACTAGTGTTTTTTCCAACATATGGCCTATTCACTAAAATGTGTTAAAAAATAACAGCGAACAAAAAAAAAAAAAACCTGTTAAATTATAAGCAACTCTTAGTTAAAAGCATTTCAAAATTAACAGGGTGTTAATTTTCACATGACATACAGACCAGAAATTTTGTCCGTTAAGTCATCAGTTTACTGTATTTCCCATCACCATTTATCCCTCCTATACCCTCTTCCACCTCTACCCATTCCCCCCACCACCACCCTGCAATCACCACACTGTTGTCCACGAGTTCTTTCTCTTTTATAATTTGCATCTTTTCATCTTGTGGTGTATCTTTTAATGCATCATTGTAGTTAAGTATTTTCACTACTTTTGTCTTTTAACCTTCATAGTAGATTTATGTGATTAACCCACCACCATTACATGAGGTTATTCTGAATTTATGTATTTACCTTTACCAATGAAATTTACTCTCATGGTTTCCTTTATTAATTAGCTCCCTGTCGTTTCTACTTAAAGAAGTCCTCTTAACATTTCTTTAAGGTTGGTCTAATGGTGGTGAACTCCTTTAGCTTTTCCTTGTCTGGAAAACTCTTTTCCCCTTCGATTCTGAAGGACAACATTTCCAGGTAGAGAATTCTTTGTTGGCAGTTTTTTTCCCCTTTCAGCACTTTGATTATATCATGTCACTTTCCAGCCTGCAAAGTTTCTGCTGAAATATCTGCAAAGTCTTATGTGGAATTCCTTTTATTTAACAAGTTGCTTTCCTTTTGCTTTTAAGATCCTCTCCTTTTCTTTAACTTTTGGCAGTTTAATTGTAACATGTATTGGTGTGGGCCTCTTTCAGTTCCTCTTATTGGAACTCTTCCTAGATCTGGATGTCTCTGTTCCCTTCCCCAGGTTAGGGAAGCTTTTAGCCATTATTTCTTCAAAGAAGTTCTATGCCCCTTTCTCTTTTTCATCTCCTTTGGGTCCTCCTGTAATGCACATATTGGTCTGCTTAGTGTTACCTTTTTTCTTTTGTTGCTTTGATTGGATGCGTTCTGCTGCCCTTAGTTTGCTGGTCCTTTCTTCTGCATCTAGTCTGCTGCGGGGCCTGTTTATTGTATTTTTCAGGTCAGTTATTATATCTCTAGCTCTGATTTGTGTGGTATTTTCTTATATTTTCTGTCTCCTTGTTGAAATTCTCTCGGTTCATGCATTGTTCTCCTGACTTTGATGAGCATCTTTATGGCCATTAATTTGGGGTTTTTACCAGGTAAATCACTTACCTCCATTTTGTTAAGCTACTTTTCTGAGGTTTTATCTTGTTCTTTCATTTAACATATTCCTGTTGGTGTCTATGCATTAGATAAAAAAGCCACCTCTCCCAGTCATGGAGTGCTTTTGTGTGGGGAATGAACCTTATTCAACCTGCCCTAGCTCTTGGTTCTCTCTCAAACCTTTGTGATTGTCCAAGTAGCCTTCTTAGTTCTTGTGGCCCCAGTGGTTGAGGGAATGCCAAGATCTGGGTTCCAAATGGGAGGATCTCAGTCAGCACCTCGATTCAGGCTGAGTGAAAGCCCACAGCTATTAAGATAAGCAAATGGGCCTCCTTCTGGAAAGGTTAAGCATTTCTATCAGCTGCCTGTGTTGAGCCTCGGTGGCAGGTTAAGAACACTCCCTGGGAGTCCTGGGGACCCATGAAAGTAAGCTCTACAATTAAAGGGTGTCCCTTGGAAAGCAGCAGTGAACACCAGAGCACTAAATTTGTACCCAAGGTCCTTTCTGGGAGACACCAGAGACGGTAGTCAGGGCAGAGGGAGAGTGCGAAGATGACGCCTGCAAGTCTCTGGGGAGTACTGTACTTGCCCCAGGTATATGTTACACTCCAAGCCTGCTCTTGGGCTGTAGCTCTCAAGATAAGCAAATAGACCTCTTTCACAGAAAGACTGGATGCATTTCAGTCTGCTGCCTGTGCTGACCACATGGGTTCATGCAATCCCATTTGGAACTATTCCTTAGTTGTAGGTCTTGTGGATTCAGGGCCCATTGGCTTTCAAAGCTAGATGTTTTGGGGGTCTCTTAGGTGGGAGTCTTAAAATGCAGGGTGCCAGCTGTGGAGTCCAAACCGTTCATTCCTCAGGAAGAAGCTGGAAGTTGTGGGGTTTATAGCAAGATTCTGTCTATCATTTCAATGTGGGTTTTCTCATTCACTTGCTGTGTAAGTGTCACTTGGCTAGATCCTGGATTTCACTCAGAGGGAACTATTCAGTATGTCACTGTAGATTTGCTGTGCCTGTAGGAGAAAGTAGTTCAGAGGCCTCCTGTGTTGCCATCTGTGGGTCAGGATGGAAGCATGGTTTAGCTCAGGGGTCCTCAAACTATGGCCCGCAGGCCACATGCAAATACAAATATTGTATTTGTTCCCGTTTTGTTTTTTTACTTCAAAATAAGGTATGTGCAGTGTGCATAGGAATTTGTTCATAGTTTTTTTAAAACTATAGTCCAGCCCTCCAACGGTCTGAGGGACAGTGAACTGGCCCCCCCCCCCCCCCCCCCCAGTTTAAAAAGTTTGAGGACCCCTGGTTTAGCTGGTCTTCTGTTCAAGGCCTCACAAGGCTACTGTTGGTTAGAGCTGTAATCTCACCTGAGGTTCAGTCTTCATCCAACCTGTTTGTTGGCAGAATTCTTTTTTTTTTTTTTCCAAATTTAGTTCAAAGAGGGAGAGGGAGATAGAAACATCAATGATGAGAGAGAATTATTGATCGGCTGCCTTCTGCAAGCCCTCCACCGAGAATCAAGTCGGGGCATGTGCCCTGATCAGGAATCGAACAGTGGTTGCTCTAGTTATAAACTGAAGATAAAATATAGCGTTATCTGTGGAAGGATTCATTTGCAACTCTGCCACTTCCCAAAGTAGAACACTGTGTTTTTAATAATCCTCCATAGAGTCTTAGACTGTGGTATCACTGCTACTCACAGATATGCTCAGTGCATGATTATGCATGACCTTTTGCAAAAGTCACTATAAATATTTTATTATACAACTAGAGGGCCCAGTGCACAGATTTGTGCACTGGTGGGGCCCCTTGGCCTGGCCTGCAGGGATCTGGTCGAAACCAGCTCTCCAACATACCCTGAGGGGTCCCAGATTGCAAGAGGACGTAGGCCAGGCCAAGGGACCCCACCAGTGCACATCAGGGCTGAGGAGGGACCACGGGAGGTCCCTTACTATATTTTAATCTTTTATTTTTTAATTTAAATTCTTTATTGTTGAAAGTATTACATATGTCTCCTTTTTTTCGCCATTGACCTCTCCCCAGCCACCTCCCTACTGTGTCCTTTGGTTATGCTTATATGCATGCATATGAGTCCTTTGGTTGATCTCTTACCCCCCCCCCCCACCCCAAGCTCAACAGTTGTTCCATGCTTGTCTGTGGATCTATTTTAATCATTTTGTTGTCCATTATATTCCACAAATGAGATCATGTGATATTTATCTTTCTCCAACCGGCTTATTTCACTTAACATAATGCTCTCCAGGTCCATCCATGCTGTTGCAAATGATAGTGTTCTTTTTTTTTACAGCAGCATATTATTCCATTGTGTAGATGTACCACAATTTTTTAATCCACTCATCTGCTGATGGGTTCTTAGGCTGTTTCCAAATCTTAGCTATGATAAATTGTGCTGCTATGAACATAGGGGTGCATATATCCTTTCTGATTGGTGTTTCTGGTTTCTTGGGATATATTCCTAGAAGTGGGATCCCTGGGTCAAATGGGAGTTCCATTTTTAATTTTTTGAGGAAACTCCATACTGTTCTCCACAGTGGCTGCACCAGTCTGTATTCCCACCAGCAGTGCACGAGGGTTCCTCACACCTTTTTAGTCAGTTGCAAGGCCACAACTGAAACACAATGCTGATGACAGACTGAAGATTTCTAACTTGGGAATGTAGAGATCCTGCTCCACATTCCATAAACAAGCAAAAAAACTTTAGTGTGCGTGGCTTTATCGCTAAATGCCAGTGTTTCTGAAACCCTTCTAAAGGCATATGGGCCGTGTTTGTTGTGCTTTCTAGATATGTTCCTGGGAAGACAGCATTTTTCCATAGAAGGCTGTGTTTATACCCTTGATGGACCTTCCCGGGTACAGAAGACAAAAACCAAGGTGACCTTTCCAGGTTGCCCCTTTCAACTTCTACAGAGTGACAAAACAGTAACATATAACACTGCTGTTTATTACACTTCGTATATTTCCTCTTCAGAGTCTTACAGATTATATGTTCTGCATTGTTAATAGTCACCTGTGACATAATTGTAAATATTCAGCTTTTTTGAAGTATGTCCTTTAAAATAAAATTGCTAACTAGATATTTGTAATGTTTCTCTGGATTTGGAGACAAAAGAAGGCAGCTTGAAGTACATTGTGCAGCTCAGATATTAACACTGTTAAAAGTTTGAAATAAGTTTACATAAATCAAGACTATTTAGCCCTGAAATAAAAACAACCAAAACCACTAAAATCAAATATTTGAGAGAATGAAACTAGAAGCTTATAGTCATTATATATATAGTCCTGAGTTGTTACACTGTGTACTATGGAATTCTTATCACAAAAATTAAATCATTTGATTTCCCCTGAAGACAAAATTATTCAGCATCTTCCCCAAGGTGCTTAGAGCATTCCTTCCCCATATCACACACCACACTCTTCCTACAAGCTTCCTTGCCATCCAAAGCCAATGTAACCACAGGCTAAGCAGCTAACAGAAATGAGTAGTGTAGCCTAACTTCGAATGTGTCAGATGATGTCTTTGCAGTATGGCTACCAGCATTCTGAGCACTAGAGGTGCCTGCAAGCCTAGGGGACAATCCAAGTATCCACATGCATGATGCCTCCAGCTCTATGACCTCTTCTTCCCTCCCTAAGTGCTACAACACAAGTCATTACCAATAAACCCACCCACTATGGGGGTAGTATAAGAGCCGCTGGCACTTGGGATCTGTGAGGTGAAGTACATTATATTCTGGGAGTTTCAGGCCTTAGACACTCATTCATGTGCATAATTGTACCAGAACTCACTTAGGAAGACACTCCTTATTCATGAACTGCCAGATTGAAAAAGATGGAGGATATAGTAGTTTGTTATAGATAACAAAGTGGCCAACATCCATCCAATGCATCTCCAAAAAAAGCAAGTACGCAGTTTTATGCTGCAAAGATAAAGTGTGGCATCTACTGGCTCCAATAAGGATACAGACCCCTTAGATTCACATCCATACTGTTGTGGAACCCAGCTCCTACCTTGCATTTACCTCGGCCACACACCTCAGAGTCGTGAGGGCTTCAGCTAGGAGTCAAACATCTTGTCATTCTCATATTTTAAAAAAGCACATTTATAATCTCTAATTCTAAAAGCAAAGTTATTCATCTTACTACAAAAATTATGCAATCATGGGTAGAGCATTTATAATTAAAGTCATGAGCAAGTGAAGGAAACTATTCGTTGTTCTGACTGCAAGGATATTAGTCCCTTTGCTGGGGAGCACAGAGCACTTAGGCAGATATGACTGCATATCCAAAAGCAGCAGAAATAGAAGAGCATGCGTAAGAAACTCATGCTCAGCCCCCTGGTTAGGAGAGGCAGTCGTCAAGGGAATTTTCACTGAAGCAGAAGTTTCAAGCCAGGCTTGAACAGAGAGGGGCGCGGTTCAAAAGGCAATGTTTTGTTCCCATAATGAACTTAATCTCCACGAAAGACATTTTTCACATGGTAAATACACTTTAAATCTATGTCTAACCGTCCAAACAAGACTCTCTATTCCTTAGAAACAGGAATCAGTCTCCTGATCCTGATTTTACATTCCTTTCCTCACATACCTCTTAGCATTTACTGACAAGATTAAAAGCAGCTGGACACCCAAACTCCAGGCCAGTTCCACAGCCTCGGGGCCACTCAGCAAGGACAGTGACAACCCAAAGTTCCAGTAGGGTTTGTGGGCTCCATCACTGAACACAACCATCTCCCAGGGACAAAGTAAACCAAAGCCAGTGTTCACTTTGTCCCACGCCAGAGTAAGCCTGAGACTTACTGATGGGTTGAGACTCAGGAAGGATAGGAATGACCAGCCATCATTTTGCAGCCACGCCCTCTAGTAATAACTAAAAGGCCTCGCCATGAAATTCTATTCACAGCCGTAATGAAGTTGGAAATCAGAGTGCTAACTCTTCAATTGCCAAAGTTATGTTTCACACAACGGGTTAGTAGTAAAATTAACTTCTTTTATCCAATCATTTGCAAATTAGTAAGGAAAGTCATATACCAACATAGTATTTTACTATACAAGATGATAGGCTTAAGAATTTATACATGTATCATATGGGACATTTTTATTCCTAATTTACATTTTGCAAGATACTTGACAATGTACAAAAAGAATACCCAGTTCTAGGTGGTGACTATTTTGTATTATGATTTATTTACAAAATTTCACCACATAATAGTAACTATCTTTAAAAAAAATTCAGGACATTAGAATAAATTGTTAAGCTTACAAAAGCTGCCTTAGTACCACTGTTCTCAGGCATATTATTGTTAAATAAAATCTAATTCCAAAGCCCACATGTAGTTTCTAATTCTGATTATACACAGTCATTTTGAAGCACAATCGAATTAGATGGACAGGGGACAGTGGAGGACCCACACAGTCCTATCAACCTCTATAAGAGGTGTACATCAGCCTACCGGTTGCATCCTGCTAGCTGTACCACCATTTACTGATAATGGGACCACTCAGTCGCCCTATTATGGTTCCTTTGGAAAAAATAAGGCATCCTCTAGACCAGCTAGACTGGTCAACAGGGTGAGTACAAAGTGACTGTCAGTAGTAAAAAACAGTTTCATTTCTTTGAACCTTTTCCTTTTCCTTTTCTGGACTCCTTATCTTTTTCTGATTTTGAAGGCTTTGAAGATTTTGTCTTTTTCTGTTGGGAGGGAAAGATGCAGGAAATAGTTAATAACTGTGTTATGAGTAAATGAAGTAAGTTCATCTCTATAAAAATCTTTACCTGCAACTTAATTAGTAAAGAAGAAAGGTTGCAAATATCTATGTATCTTTAACTACTGCTACCCGCAATGAGCTTAATTTCAATAAACTACTTGTAGCTTTACAAGATAGCCATAAAACTAAAAAGCTATTTAAAATCTAGAACCAACATGTGTTCCTCATGAATGCAGTTTCTTGGATTTAGAACATAGATATATTTAGGAAAGACAAAATAAGTAAGACGTAATTTACAAAACAGGGTAAAAAGTTACTTTTCTTTCAGTTTCAGATTCGAGAGTCTAAACATGCCCAGTTTGAGGAGAAGGGAGGAGACAACCTCTTATGTCTACACAAGACTAGACAGGAAGAGGAGCTACACTGGTGAAGGCCACTATTCCGACCGCTGCATATACAAAGCCAGAGAGGGCGAGAACGATACGCACACGATACAGGAGGATACAGACTACATTCCTTTGCTATAGCAAACAGTGGGCTGATACCATAAATGATTCTAACCTATTCCAGCAAAAGACAAGGATGTTTGCTCTGAAAAACTTCTATAGGCAATTCAGTGGCTATAGCAAAACAGAAATAACAGAAGGGAGAAATGGTTTCATTGAAAATGATTTTCTTGGTTGTGCTGTGAAAATGTGTGTGTGTGGGTAAAGCACAAACCAATGATCAAAAAAGTAAAAATCTTACTTTTTCTAACAGAGCATATGACCATCAATATGATGGCCTATATTTTGCTTTTTGGCTCTTCCACTATTATTAGAAGCTGTTTATAAAAGTGAAACCTAGCCCTGAGTGGTGGCTCAGTTGGTTGAAGTGTCATCCCATACAGCAAAAATGTTGTGGATTTGATTCCTGGCCAAGGCACATACCTAGGTTTCAGGTTCAATCCCCTGTCGGAGCACATACAGGAGGCAACCAATCAATGTTTCTCTCACATCGATGTCTCTCTTTTTCCCCCCCACCCCCCAAAAATATCAATAAACATATCCTCAGGTGAGGATTTTTTAAAAAGTGAAATCTATACCTTTTCCACCTTCAACTGTGATGAACAAAAAAACTTAGAAGTATTTTCAGAGCTTACTCTGCTACTTGCTAAACAGGCCCTGAATAATTTCTGAAGGTAAATTACGCAAGAAAAAATAAACTAGTTTGCGGGAGTATCAGAGCTTCTCTCTATAGCTTAAAATACTACCTTGATCATAGCATCCGTTTCCACAGCGTCTTGCTCTTTCTCATCAGACTGAGAGTCATCCTCCTGGAGCTCCTCACTGTGCTCAGGATCCAGCGCTGGGCCAGTGCTGTGCCTGGGGGCCTTCACTGCCTGGAGTGAGTACGGAGTCAGGTGGGCTTCCTTGTTGTAAGCTCTCGTAAAGGCCGCCTTCACCTAAAGAAAAGAAAAGGAGGGGACTTCTAAAATCTAAGTGCCAGATAATCCTTTTGAACTCTGTAGGCCTAAAGCCTTTGAAAGACCCTGGGAGCCCCTTAAAAGTATTTGCAAAATATTTATACATGTGTGTGTGTGTATTTATTATATATATGCATTTTTCTATGGAGAAGGTCCATATTTTTCGTATTCTTAATAGAGCCCATGACTCAAAAAGATAATCAGTATTTGGAAACTTTAAGGCAGACCCAAAAAATGACTTTTAAGTCGTCATTTTTACCTAAGTCAGTGCTCTCTGCAGTTCTACAAGTGATAAAGTTAGTCAGTAATCATAAGTCAAAAAAGGCTCACAATAAGGTACAAGTTAAAGTTGGCCTTTATTTACAAAATACTTTTACTAATAGTGGCTAGTTCAATATACTAAATAACTTGAAAAGCCTTAACATTGAGCTTCTAATCATTGCAGAATTAGTCCATGAATGCTAACTGGAGATGTCTCCTGTGATAAATTACCCACAACCATTGAGCCAGGTCGGAATTCCAGAGAAGGCAAGCCACAGAGAACGTCTTCTAAAACATCACCAAATAAGCAGGCACAAAGTGAGGTATTAGATAGTACATATTCATGTTATGTCACTAGGTTTTTCATGCTCATTATGTGAAGTAGGGGGCACATTACTACACGACAGATTATCCAACTGGAACACTGAATCCACCGAACAGGCAGACTAAGGGTAACACTCCTCAGCCAGTTAGCACTTCTTTTCCTCCGTTCCTTCGCCTGGCTCAGATGCCCACCCTTCCTTATAAGGAATATATGTATATTTGTTCCTCAACTTTCACATCTTGCTTTTCCACTCAGCATAAAGCAAAGATAAACATACAAATTGTAAAGTTTAACCCAGAAGTCTTTTCTTAATATCAT